GCGCACTGAGGTCTCTTCCTCCCCGCCTCATTTCCTTTTCCCCCCTTTTACTTCCTTCTCTTCTCTCCTCTTTTCCACAAAAATTAGCATCTAATAACTACAGCGCAAAATATCAGTGATAAAAATTACTCTAAAATGGGAAGAAAACAGTAAATGCTCTTAATTTAAAACCGAAAGTCTATGGAGCGCCCACTGGAAGGGGGAAGGATGAGGAGAGGCTATGCTGTGATGGAAAGTAATTAGTTACATGCATCAATAGCGATTTCAGATAGATTAAACTGATTTGTTATACTTATTAATTCCCTGAGAGTCGATAACTGCATTTTTTTGAGAGTTGTTTTTTTTTTTTTTTTGCTATAGGGCGTGTGCGCTCGCCAGACAGAGAGAGACATAGAGACAGAAAGTGAGAAATCACCCCCTAGAGGGGATGGTCACGCCGCAATCCCTTCTCCTCCATTCTCCTCTCGGGATCTTGGGCACGCACGCACACGCACCCGGCATGAGTTTTAAGCCACTGGGTCCAGGATATGAACCGCGGTCGACTACATGGGAGTCCAGCTACATGTAGCCATTACATTAACTGCTGGTTCCCTCGATAACTGCATTTTTGCTTTCCTTTTTAACTAAATATGAGATTGTCGGGAATGCCCTGACGTATTTTTCTATGCAAAAACGTGTCTGACCTTCCGACGGCCTGGTAGTTATCTGGGACACTGGAACAACACAGTTTATCTTGCAGTGTGAACTTTACATAATTTGTCACTCCTGTATTCAGTGCAATGTAGATGGAGCCCCATATTCAACCTTTTTTCCTAATTGCCAGAGAATGGGTATGCTCAGCAGAGAGAGACAGAGACAGAGAGAAAGAGAGGGAGGGAGGGAGGACCACTCCCCCCATGGAAATGGTCAGCTGCAATCCCTTCTCTGTTTCTCTGTCCTGTCAGGATTTGGGGTCATGCATGCCCACGTGCCCAGTGGTTTTTTGTTTGTTTGTTTGTTTGTTTGTTATAGAATTATTTTATTTAACTTTATTTATTATTATTTTAATATTTCCAGAGAGAGAAAGAGAAGGGGATGAGAAGTGAGAAAGCAAGCCTCCAGGTCTGGGACTCAAACCATGGTCGGCCATGTGCGAGTCCAGCACCCTTAAGCTCCATGCCACCTGCTGGCCCCACCCAGTGTGGTTTTTAAGCTGTTGATTCTGGAATTCAAACCTTGGTCGGCCATATGGGATCTGGCTTTTTTATGCACTAGACCACTGAGCTGGGCCTCAATCTGTTTTGTAAACTGTGCCATGACTTTCTGTGTTGTGTATATTTTGATGTGTACTGAGGTGGATTTCCAGACACCATTTCCCCCTCTCTGTTGTGTAGGAAGCTTGTAATTTTGGAATTGAGCTCATCTTTATTAGCCTCAGTCAGTGGTTTTCAGTTCCACCTCAAAGTTCAAATTGCCTGGGGGGAGTTTCTAAAATTACAAATGATGGAGAACCACTCGAATAAATGAGGCCTGATTACTGGTCATTTCACCAAAACACCCCAGGGCCAGCAGGTAGTGTGGAGGTTAAGGCACTGGATCCCATATAACTGACTGTGTAGTTCAAGTCCGGGAATTGCAGCGTGAGAACATGCTGAGTGTGTGTGCGTGCATGCCCAAAATCCTGAGAGGAGACTAGAGGAGAAGGGATTGAGGCATGGCCATTCCCCTGGGGGTGATTTCTCACTTTCCCACTTTCTCTGGCAAGTGTATGCACAAAGCTAAAAAACAAAAACAAAACTCCACAGGGGAGGCTAAGGTGAGGTCAAGAATTAAGAGCAACTAGCCTAAGGCAACCATTAGTGTTAATCTCCTCTGACTCAAGATTGCTGGCCCTAGTGACTGCGTTGTGGGCACAAGGACAGTTTGAGGAACGGACATGTGACTTAGTTTAGGACATGGCCTGAGACAGGAGGTTGCTATGCACTTTTTGGTAAGAAAATTTCACTCTTTTTTTTAAAACAAAACAAACAAAAAACAAAACAAACAAAACACCTTTTATTTAGTTTTTTTTTTTTTTGAAGAGGTTTTTGCTATAGGCCATGTGCGCTCGCCAGCCAGACAGAGAGAGACAGAGAGACAGAAAGCGAGAAATCACCCCCCAGCGGGGGATGGCCACGCCACAATCCCTTCGCCTCCATTCTCCTCTCGGGATCTTGGGCACGCACACACATGCGCCTGGCGTGAGTTTAAGCCACCGGGTCTGGGACACGAACTGCGGGAGACTACATGGGAGTCCAGCGACATAGCCATTACGCTAACTGCTGGTCCCCCTTTTATTTAGTTTTATGCATTATTATTGTTTTTTATTATTTTCTAATTTGACCAGATTGAGATAGAGAGAGAGAGAAAGGGCAAGTAAGAACGCAAGCTGCCAGGTCCAAGATTTGAACCACAGTCAGCCATGCGGGAGTCTAATGCCTTAACCACCACTCCACCAGCTGGCTCCCGAAAATTTCACTTGAAAAAGAAAGCCATCGAATTCATTGGTCTCTCATGTTTCTGAATATTGTATACCAGATGTAAACCCCAAGATTTCGGCATCTAACTTGCTACCAACACACAGAGAAATACAGAGTGGAGAAAAATGCCAGAGGATGGAGACAGCCGCTGGGTTTACCCCACTCTGAATCTGGCCTTTCATCTGATGTACGTCCATGACACGAACGAACCAGTGTTCCCCCGTAAGACTTTGGCTTAGGCGTTTAGCTATTCCTGATGCAGTAATTTTGTCTCTAAGGTTTTTTTCTTTAAGCTTACGATAGATTTTTATTTTTTTCAATTTACCAGAGGACATGTGAGACAGAGACAGAGGCAAAGGGAAAGGGAGAAAATACCCCCCGTCAAGAATGGTCAGGTTACAATCCCTTCTCCTCCATTTCTACCTCCTTGTGGGATTTGGGGTCCATATGCACACACACACAAACACACACACACACACACACAGAGAGAGAGAGAGAGAGAGAGAGAGAGAAAGACACCCACCACGGGCAGGACA